GAGAGGCAGTGGGAAGAAGGCTACTACTCACTTGAGGAGGCCCAAGATGAAGGCATGAAAGCGGCTGCGGCTGCTGCTCAGCGGGGCCAAACGGCTGACTTGGCTGTACAGGGACCCCAGGGAACTGCTGGAGCCTGGGGGCAGGGGGCGTGGTCAGCCAGGTCCTGGCCCTGCTCTGCTGGGTCCCCTGCACTCCCCTCTCACCTGGCTTCACAGATGCCTCCACCACACTCCAGGGACTGCTTCTGCGCTGCCCGGTGATGAGGTCTTTCCGGAAAGGCTTCAGCCCGTCTGCCACCAGGGCGTGCAGGGCTGGGCAGAGGGTGGTCAGCACCAGGTGCCCCACATCCGGGCTCAGCCTGCTATCCCCCAACTGGGCCTGGAGGTGGCACAACTCGAGTCAGTCCAGATAGGGATCCAGTCACCACCGCCACCCTCTGTCTTGTTGTGCCCCCAGAGCTACATTAATCTCCACATCCCCAACATTCTCCTCCAGCCACCTTCACCTTCTGAACCAGGTTCCGGGCAGCCCCGAAGTGCGAGATGATTTTATCCACTGAGGCACTGACAGCTATCAGGAGACCTGGGAGGGGATAAGGAAGGGAAGCTCTATCAAAGCCCTGCCCTCTATCCTGGGCATAGCCAGAGGGCACGGAGAAGCTGGTTTATGCAATTTGACTCTTAAAGCCTGAGGAATGCAAAGTGAAGAGCGATTCCTTCAGAAGCCAGGGGTCCGGACTCAGGGCAGCCTACCTTTTTTCTGCTCCTGCAGCTGCCCAGTCCCACTCTGGGCTTCTGCCATCCACAGCCGCTGGGCCCCAGGAACACCCGCGAACGACCAGGAACTACGAACTGGGTAAAGGAAGAAGGACGCAATGACGCTTACTAAGGGTTACCCCCAAGGACGCCGGGCTTCTGCCACGGTCATCTCCTGCGGCTCTGCAGAGACCCTGCCCACGAAAGGTCTTGGGGAGAGAAGGAACAGGGCCACAAGGAGCGGCTCTACCCGACCCCCCGAGCGAAATCCTGCACAGAACCCGGCTCTCGCCGTCCCCCACCTCGGCTCCTATTTCCTGCCCTCAGGCCCCAGCTCCCACCTCCTGCGTCCAGGAAGTCCCGGAGTGGGACGCCGAACTAAAGCCCCGCCCAGCCGTCTGGGTCCTGTAGGGCGAGAGGTGACTAGGCGAGGGACAGGAGGGGCTGCCCTGCGTCCCGCCCCAGGCCGGCCGGCCCGGGGAGCACGTGGGGAGCCTGAGCCAATGAAAAGACAGACGGGAAAGGGAGGAGAAACCGGGAGGTGAGACCCTGAGACCGGGATGCTGGAGGGCGAAGGCGCCGGGAAAGGGAAACCCGGGTCCCAAGCCAGCTTGGCGGACAGCGCTCCCCTCATCCCACGTGGGACGGGACTGGGAAAGGAGTGACCAGAACCTCCGGGGCCAGTGGGCTCCAGGGAGTTTCGCCCTCCACCCTCCCGGATCTAGGCAGGGAGGTGTCAGACTACGTGGGCCGCAGAATTCCACACAGGTGTGACCCGAGATCCCTGACACGGACTTGCTGGGACCCCGACCGAGCAGACAGGCCGGGGAAGCCCTCCTGCGCAGGGTCCTGTGAAGCCGGGGCAGCAGCAACCCGCCTCGCCACCCCACAGCGCGAGCAGCGAGACCAGCACTGGCGGACTCGCTCGGAACCGGCCCCAGTTGAAGGATGGCACCGCTGAATCCCCGGGGAAAGCCACACTACGGGCTGGGCGGGTGGGAGGGCTGGAGAGGGCAGGCAGCCCGCCGAGGCGTGGCCCGCGGGGCTCGCCCGGGTCCGTCTTACGTAGCCTGGGCGGAGGCGGTGGGCTTCTGGTCCAGCGAGAGGCCTTCGGCGGACGAGGTGGTGGTGGCAGCGAAGGGGCGGGTACCTGGCGGGGCGGGGGAGCCGCGGCGGGAAAGGTGCTACTTCTGGGAAAGAGCGGGGACAGCAGCAGTGCCAGCTCGGGGCTGGCCAGGCAGGGCAGGGTCCCCCGAGTCGGAGGCGAATAGGCTCCCACTGGGGACAGGCGGACAGGCAGCAGCTGCTCCGCTGGGGGACTTGGCGCCCCCAGCAGCCGCAGCCCGGTGCCGGGCCACTCGGCCAGGGGCGCCAGGAGCAGGGACCCAGCTGCGCCGGCACCCCCACCCTCCAGCAGGGGGCGCCCGTCGGCCGAGAACCGAAAAACCAGGGGCCGAGGGAGCACAAGGGGACCGGCTGCAGGCGGGATTGGCGGGGCAGGCGCAGAGGGGAAGAAGGGGAGCGGGATGGACAGCCAGGCAAGAAGGAGCGGGAGAAAGAGGGAGCAAAGAGTTAGTCCCGTAACCCAGTGACCCATCCAGTTTCCCTTTCCCGGAGCGCTCGCTGATAAAGGGGCGGGGAGGGTGGGTGACACAGAATGGAGGGGAGACGGGGGCGGGGTTGGAAGCTTCGGAGGCGTGGGCAAGGCTAAAGCCCAGCCCTCTTCCCGCTTCCTCGGCGGCCTCTTACCCTCGAGGCCCGCTGGTGCTCCGGGCTGCTCCGGCTCCTTCGGGGTTGGGGCCTCCTCACCAGCCGCCGGGCTGACCGCCCTGCCTTCCTCGAGCTGCCCCTCCGCTATGGGCTGCAGCCCAGGTCGATTCTTCTTCCGCCGGGGAGGCACGGGTGGGGGTGGCGGGCGGGGCGGGACCAAGGCCCAGCCAGCAGGGGGGTCTCGAGGAGGGACCGGCGGGGGCGGGGCGCGGCTTCTGGAGCGGAGTTCCTTGAAGGTGGTGACTTCTCGGGGAGGTGCCGAGGAGCCACCCAGCGACCCGGTCGGTGGGAGTTCGGTGTCCGGCGAGAAGACTATGAGCCAGTCGCTGCGATCTTTCTTAGCCTGCGGTGTGAGGGGCAGCCCCGGGCCCCGCTTGCGCTTCTGGGCTAGCTCGTGGAAGGACGTGATTGTCCGGTGGGGCACTGGCTCCTCGCTGACGTCACTTTTCCATCCCCCATCAGTTTTCCCTGCATCTGCTTTCGAGCCAGAATCAGTTATTCCTAAGCTGGTGTTCCAACAGGGGTCGAATTTTCCGGGTTCAGCTCTCCAGTTAGAGTTAGTACTTCCGCTGGTTTTCCAGTCGGAGTTATTGTTATCAGTGATTTTCCATCCAACTTCCGTTTTCTCTGTGTCGATTTTCCAAATGGGGTTAATTTTCCAACTGGGCTCCGTTTTCCCAGCGTCGATTTTCCCATCCTCCGCCTCCGAGAGCTCAGAGGTGGGGAGGTCCTGCTCCCCACTCTCTTCCTCCTCCTCCAGGCTGGAGGAAGGGAGGTCCTGGCAGGTGGTCAGGGCATTGCAGTTCGAGTCCAGGCCAGGGCCCGGCGGGGAGGAGGCTCCAGAACAGGAATCAGGAGAGCAGCAGAAGCTGTCCGGGGAGCAGGTTCCAGGGCCTGCTGAAGCCAGTGGGGACCCCTGCTCCAAGGGGACGATACTGGGCTGAGGGTGGGCATCCTCATCACCAGGCAGGTCCCGCGAGTAGACGGAAACGGGGGACTCATCGGGGCTAAGATCTGAGCAGGAGCTGAGAGAGGAGGAGCAGCCCGGGTCTGAGGGAGAGGCAGCCCCTTCCTCCTCCTGAGATGGGTCCAGTCGGTTTTCTAGGTTTGGTCCATGCTCCTGGCAGCATCGGCAGGGCACCGCTGGGCTGTTGGAGTTGGCATCCACGAGGGTCCCTCCGCAGGGGCCCCTGCTCTCCTTGCCCCCGGTGTCTCCTGGGGGAGGGGGCGTGCTTAAAGGCCCCTCCCGTAGCTCCGGACGGCGAGACAAGTGCAGGCCCAGGGAGACGTGCTGGAGGTGGATGTGGTTGAGATTGCAGAGTAAAGCCCTCTGAGGGGACAGCATGATGCCAGCGGCGATGAGATGGCCTCCAGAAAACCAGAATAGGGCCTCTCACATCCACCTACCTGGCAACGCAGATGCAGACCTAGAAGATGTGGATGGTGAAAGACAGCCAGTGAGGGCGATGAGAAGGACACGGAGGTGACTGACGGCGGGAGCAGGCCTGGGGAGGCTCTGGCTGCTTTGGAAAATATTTAAATGAGATGCAAATCTGCATCGACTGGCCATTAGTTTCCACTGCAGTGTTTGCAGGTGGAGTCGAATGTAACCCCCCCCGGGAATAGAAGAGGGAGGGTCAGATAATGCGGCTGCGCTCTGCATCTCCGTAGGGGAGCTTGGAAGAGGATGGGGCCCAGGACGGACCCGGGATCCTTTCTGCAGCAATTTGGCCCTGCCCTCCAGCCTACCCTTCACTCCCAGAGGAAAGAGCCCAAGGGGACCCCGCCCAGGTATTCGGAAATGAGGTGGATGGAGAGAAGCAGGCGCGGGGTTTGGCTTCTTAATACAGTAAAGCGGAGAGGTTGGAGCGGGAGGAGGGAGCCGCCGTCAGCTGTCAACTCTGAATCTGCAGGCCGCCCTCAAGGTAATGCAGCCTGCAGCTTTGGTGCGCCCTTATCCGCTCACAACAGTGTCACACAATTCTCTTCGCAGTCTTCTCCATCATCCAGCCACCACCCACCGAACCCCACCCCTTCTCTATTCGTTTTTCCTGCTTCCCTCTCCTGCCCCACCCCACAGTGTCCCGGTTGATTCATCCACACCCAGCAGCCAAGCCCTCCTCACCAGGGTCCTCTTGGAACTGCTCCGGCCCTGGGCTGGTCAGCCGTTCCCGCGATCCCCGCCCGGCGGGGTATAGAGCAGAGGGGAGGGGCACTAGGACAACCCACTCCGCTGCGCAGCCGCACCCATACACGCATGGGCGTGGCGTAGCTTAGACCCACCCTTCAGTCCTTGACGTCATGCCTGTGTCATCCACTTAGACCTTGCTCACAGTTTTCAATCCCAAAGGTTTCTTGAGCCATGACCCACAATATCTGGCACCAGTTGAGCTACCTTGCCGCCCCCATCCCCACCAGCCCAAACCCATTCCGGACACACAGGACTCTCAGCTAGAGCAAGAAGAAAACCACCAGAAGACTACACAATAATTTATTGAGAGCCCGCCCTCCCTCCCTGCCCTGAGAGTCTCTAGGTCACTTTTTCCGCTTGTAGATCTTGTTGGCCAGCCCCAGGAAGATGGTGGGGGGCAGGGGCGCAGCATACTGCTCGATGAGACTCATAAGATGGCTGTAACTGTCTTCTTCATACTTGGAGAACACAGCTGGTAGATTCATCTCCTCGTACAGTGCCCTCACCTGGGCCACCTTCTTGGTGTCCTTCTGCCCATAATTGTCCTGGAAGGGGTTGGAAGCAGGAAAATGGGCTTTGTCTTCCCCAGAACCTCAAGGCCTCTCCACTCACTCATTCACATTCTACCCCTGCCTCCCATTTTCAAGTGTCTGGGTACTTCGGATCCCAAGCTTCTTGTCCCCATCCCAAATGTTGGGGTTTGGTCTCAGGCCTCAGTTTCCTCTGTTCTGGGGATTTGATGTTGGTACAACTGAAATCTGCAGCCAGATGATTTCATTTGGGGAGTTGTTCTGTGCAGTGTCTGATGAGGGTTAGCAGCATCACTGGCCTCCACCCTGCAGACACCTAGAGCACATGCATACTCACCAAGTTACAGTAGTAAGAGAATCTGCTAGCGCTGTCAAATGGCGGGAGGCAGGCACACGCGCGCACACACACACACACACAACTGCCTCAAGAACCACTGTCCTATCCCCTTTCTTATCAGTTCAGGGAACCCCTGGTCCTCTCTGGCACCTGCAAGATCTGGCGCTGTTCTGGAGTAGCCCGTTGCAGACACTGAACCACCAGCCAGCTGCACTTGTTGTCCTGGATGTCAGTGCCAATTTTTCCCGTTACACTGGGGTCGCCAAAGAGGTCAAGGTAATCATCCTGGGCAGGAGGCAGAAGAGGAGGAATGAAGAGGCTGGTGTGGCAGTGGGACACCTGCCTGGTCCCCGCTCTGCCCTTGCCTCAGGCCCACCTGAATCTGGAAGAACTCTCCCATCTGCATCAGGATCTTCTTGGCATTAGCATGTTCCTTCTCCCCATCAATGCCTGCCTACAAGGGAAGAGGACCAATGAGCCGAAGCCCTCACTGCCTTCACCTCCTGGGATACTTCCTCCAGTGGGGTCCTGCTACTGGGGTCCCCAAGTTGTCTCTCCTTTCAGACATTCTTGGCCTCCCCGATCTAGGAAGTCCTGACGGATGAACCAACCTCCGTCCCACTAATTTTTGACTAGGCCTTCCTGGGAGTCACAAAAGGGAAGAATTTGGAGGCCCACAAATTCTCTTTCACGGTCTCAGTCATCTGATTCCTCTTCCTAACCTTTCTGCCACCTCCAGCTTCTTTCAGGATGAAAAGAAAACTTGGAGAACCAAGTTCAGGGTAGACTGTTAATCCTGCCTGCCTTTGAATCCAGCCTTCTCCCACCCTACCTGAATTATGTCCTCCCCAGTCCTGTCCAAACTCCTATTTGGGATTCACAGTTCCCCGATTAGGAGCCAAGCACTTTCAAATGCCTCAGTTCACCTTTACAGTCCTGTGAGGCAGGAACTTATCCCCATCTTGCAGCTGAGAGTAACTGGATTGCTCAAGGCCTCGCAGTCATTCAGCGGGGCTACCAACTGTCCAAGTGCCTTGTCTATGCCTTGCTGCCTCAATACCCACAAGTGCGGGGAAGAGCGGGTGAGGCTGACTCACCATGTACATGGCAGCAGCGATAGGCAGGTAGAAGGAGTAGAAAGCTGTCTTGTATTTGACAATGGATTTGTACCTAAAGGAGAAGATAGAGGCCTCAGGACAACCCCACCCAAGCCTTCCCTCATTCTCCAGATATGGTCCCCTCTGGCCCTCACCTCTTTTCAGTGTATCTGCCAAGATCCACATTGCCCTGGGGGGCTGTGATGAGGTCCAGGGTCTGCCCAATCTCCGTCTGATAGGAACTCTAAGAGGAAGATGGCCCGTGAGCCAGGTTTTCTCCACATATGGGGACCCTATCTCCACCCTGATGTGCTGAACCCTATACCCCATGCCCAGAACCCGCATTCTGGCAGAGTCCCAAGGGCAGCAGTAAAGAGAGAAACTCCAGGCCCCCACTCGTGCACAGGGTCCTTTCCTTCCTCCCTAATCCTCTTCCTTCCTGTCCCCTTCCAGGCAACCCTAGCATCTCCTGTGCCTGAAACCAGCAGATGGGAACATCCCTACAGAGGCCAAGGCTACTATGAGAAGCCTCTGAGCTCTGGGTCCCGGGCTGCAGCACACCTGCAGGAATAGCTCAATCAAGTTCAAATAGTAGGGCTGATCCCGGCAGTAGAACTTCAGCAGGCGGTAGATACACGCTTCCAGAAGCAGAGCGTCATTGATGGCATCCAAACCTATGCCTGGCTGTGAGGAGCAAAGAAGAAAACTGAGCAATGAATCTCTGGCCTTGATTCATACCAAGAATGGTTACCTCAATCAGGCTGGATAACCACCTCCCTGTGGCCTGTCCCCATGCCCACTTCCACCTTCCCCCCACATTACCTTCTGATACCAGCAGAGCTGTCCCCGGCGGGTAAGGGATGCATCCATGATGTCATCTGACACCAAGAAGAAAGCTTGCAGCTAGGGGAAGGAAAGACAGAGTTAAGACCCCTTTACGTGCCTTCTACCAGAGACACAGCTCCTGCTTCTGATGGTTACCGTGAGCTGAGAAGGGATACCAAGGTCGGGACGCTGAGGACTTCAGTTATAGACGACCTTGAAGTTACATGACCTCTTTGGCTCAGACTCCCCACCTAAACACATAGAACTAAAACTGTTTCCAGGGTTAAGAGTCCAAGAAAACATCTCTGACAACTTCAATCAGCCTTTCCGACTGTCACTGGTATTGGAGATAATGAGACACCTTCCATGTTTACTCTTTCTCCTCGTGCCAAAAATCTCAATGAATGCTTAAAGGAAGATCTTTCTCTCTCCCTCTTTTTTTTTAATATATATATTTTTAGTTGTAGGTGGACACAGTATCTTTATTTATTTTTATGTGATGCTGAGGATCAAACCCAGTGCATCACAGGTGCGAGGCTACAGCCCAGCCCAAGGAAGATCTCTTCCTCAATGAAAAACATTAACAAACTTTAAAAGAAAAAAGTAAAAAAAAAAAAAGGTTTCTTCATGCAACTTGCCTTTACCTGACTTTACCCCTCCCCATTACTGGTGATTGAACCCAAGGGTGCTCTACCACTGAGGTACATCCCAGCCCTTGTTATTTTCTATTTTGAGACAGGGTCTCACTAAGTCACCAAAGCTCACCTTGAATTTTTTATCCTCTTGCCTCAGTACTGGGGACTGAACCCAAGGGCACTTAACCACTGAGCCACACACCCAGCCATTATTTAATTTTTTGAGACAGGGTCTCTAAGTTGCATAGGGCCTCACTAAATTGCTAAGGCTGACCTCGAACTTGTGATCCTCCTGCCTCAGCCTCCCAAGTTACTGGGATTACACATTTTTGCCACTGCACACAGCTACCTCCATGACTCTTCAAAGAAGGCTGAACACTATTACATCAGCCAACATTCCATTCAAACATCCTAGTGATGAGGGACACAGCCTTACTGTGTAGTTTATATAGGGGAGCAGGTGTAAATGAATGGAACTGAGATCTGCCTAATAATCTGTACCCATGGAACTGTAAACACCTTTACACACTCCTAAATACCAGCAAAAGGCTTGCCCTTTCAAGTGCCAGCCCCCTGAAAGTACCTTGTTGGTTTTCTCTCTCCTTCCTCTCTTTCTCGTTAGTATAGGGATCTAACCCGGGGAGCTACCACAGAGCTCTATCTTCGGTCCTTTTTTAGTTTTATTTTTTGGTACCAGAGATTGAACTCAGGGGCACGCAACCACTGAGCCACACCTCCAGCCCTATTTTGTCTTCTATTTAGAGACAGGGTCTCACTGAGTTGCTTAGGACCTCGAAATTGCTGAGGCTGGCTTGAAACTCACAATCCTCCTGCCTCAGCCTCCCGAGCTGCTGGGATGATGTGCGCCACAGCGCCCGGCCTTTTTTATTTTTATTTTGAGACAAGGGTCTGAGTTGCTGTGCTTGCCTCAAACTTGACATCTCCCTGCTTCAGTCACGATGGTTTACAAGCACACACTGATGTGCCCAGCTGACTTGGTTTTCTAACTAGACCATAAACTCCTTGGACTTGGGACACGTTTTTCCTCTTGGCATTTCCACAGCCTAGCACAGCACTAGCCTCAGAATGGGTGCTTCCAAGTCTACTAAGCAAATGAAAGAAACTCTCCATGATTCTTCTTGCAATCAGGCCACTCATTTCTTAAGCAGTTTTTCAAGACATGGTTCTTGCCATGACACAGTGGTGCACCTGTACTGCCAGCAACTCAAGAGGCTGAGGCAGGAGGATCACAACCTTGAGGCCAGCCTTGGCAACTCAGCAAGACCCTGTCTCAAAATGAAAATTAAGGAGCTCAGGGTGTAGCTCTGTAGTAGAGCATCCCTGGTTTCAATTCCCAGTACAGCAAAAATAATTAAATAATAAGATACGGCTTTCAAAATTCTACCCCATCCTGATCCTATGTGCTCTGATGGGTCACACTGTTGGGGAAGCAGGAAGCAATGCCCCTCAGCTCAGGTGTGGGCCCCTACAGTCACTGCTGGTGTTCCTGGAAAGACCCACATGGAGGAGGCATCAATCTGAACTTTTAATGCTGATCTTACCCCAGGGGAGCAGAATGGAGGCACACACTGGAGACAGAAGCCTTATTTACACTGCATTTATTTGGAGTGACATGGTTCTCTGGAGCCATGCATCCACTGCCTCTTCCCAAGGACAATTTTTGTTTCAGCCACCACCATTCAACCAATGTCTCCAAGGGAATTCATTCTGTGGCCCCTCTCAATCTACTCCTCCATCAATGATTCTAACCCCATCTGCAGAACTTTACAAATATCATAGTGGTAGATCCCATCCAGATCACTTAAATGAGCATCTATAGGGGTAGGACCTCAGCACTGGGGGTTAGCTCCCTAGGGAGAATTCATACATTAGGAAAGGATCACACAGACACCAATTAGATTAGGCACCACTCTACCAAACAGTCAGCCTGGACTTCAGGGGAAAAGTCAACTGTGGTAAAGGAACTATTCTACTCTAAAGACTGAAAGAAGGGGCTGGGGTTGTGGCTTAGTGGTATCGTGCTCGCCTAGCATACATGAGGCACTGGGTTCGATCCTCAGCACCACATAAATGTAAAATAAAGACACTGTGTCCACCTAAAACTAAAAAATATTTTTTAAAAGTATATTAAAAAAGTGAAGACTGAAAGAAAAAAAATTGCCAAACGCAATACGTTAGTTTGGGTTTTGTTTCTTTTGTTTTTGGTTTTTGTAATGCATTAGCTTTGACTGGGCCTGGATATTTTTTTTTTTTTTAATAGCCATAAAGGACATCTAGGAGACAGGAATACCTGAATATGGAATACATCTTGGATGGTATTATTGGAATCCAGTCCCCCTGCCACCAATTAAGCCTCTAGGCCAGGCTAACAACCACACACCTTCAAGGGTCAGGATACCTGGGTACAGAAGGCAAGGAGAGGCAGGGAACGAAGGAGACCAGAGCCACACACATGAGAGCATGTACCATGTCTTGGGGAAGTAGCCATGATGTGCCTTCAGCAGGTGCTGCTATACGTGAACATGGACCTGGATCTTATGATCTTCCAAGTAATGCAAGAAATCTGGGATTTTTTTTTTTAATATTTTTTTAGTTGTCAATGGACCTTTATTTTATTTATATGTGGTGCTGAGGATTGAACCCAGTGCCTCACACATGCTAGGCAAGCGCTCTGGCACTGAGCCACAACCTTGGCTCAAAATCTGGGTTTTTAAGCAAAGCATCTGCTATGTTAAATGTAGGGGATTTAAGTTGCAAACATTTTCAAAAACTATTAGTCAGCCCCTGATTTTCAATTTATACTTCACAATAATCTTTTGGAAGAACTATATCATTTTTATGGCTATCTTTTGCTCAGAGGAAAAAGCCAACACCTCTCTGCTAAATTCTATGTACCTAATGGCAAGAGGTCGCCCTTACTGGTTAACCAGTTAACTCTTGGAATAATTCACTCTGCCTAAATTTGGCTACACCACACTAGGAACAGGAAATATAAACAAAAACCAGAAACAAGTTTTGGGTTCATCCCTCCCCTACCCCCAACTCTAGGAACCCTCTTCTTCTCCTGCCCTTCCCCCACGCCTCTCACCAGCTCCACACACCAGCCCACTGTCAGGGCCCTCTGGAGACTATCAGCATCCTGTTTTCTTGGATCCGCCAGCTCCCGGAATGCTACCACCACTGTCACACCCCGGTTGTACTTGCCTCCAATGGCATTATATTCCAGGACCTGGGACAAGGGAGAGGGACAGGGCATCAGGGTCCACGCAAGAGCAACTTCCATTTCTAACTACCTACTGAACTTCACCCTCTCCAATCCCAATTCCCATTCCAGGAAGTCCCAGATTCCTACTTCTTGACCCCTGTCCCAAAGTCCCAGAACACAGTGAGAAGAACTCCCCAGTGGGTTTGTTTCTTTCTTTTGTACTCTGCATTGTCTTCCCCAGTAAGATTAAAGGCTCTATGGTGCGAGCTCAGTTCTGTCTGTCCCCAAGCCCAGGACTCAGGGAAAACAATGCACACTGTGGGAATGGTACGCAGATCCCGCCGCATCCCACCTCCCTCGACTTCCCTTTCACAACCCATAGTTGCTTTCCCAACCACCCCCTCCTGCCCAGAATTCAATGCATCTTCAAATGAAAATCCTGTATTTAAGACCAGGCCCCTCCAAGTTAGCGAGAACTCAGACAGGACCCAAGTTGTGGGATCCATCTAATCCTCCAATGGTGTCTCTTCCTGTCAGGGCCTTCTGTTGCCCGGTTCTCAACCAGTGTTAATAAAGGAGAGCCTTCTCTTTTAGTCCCCATCCCAACGTCGACAAAGCCTTCCCTTTCCCTTGGTTCCCCTCAGACAGATGAGACAGACAGCAATTTATAAAACCAATTTACTGGATACTTCAAGAGAATAAAAGAAAGGGGGAGAAAAAAGCAACTTAAGTATTACAGCAATAGTTCATTGCTGGAACAGAGGCTTCTGATGACACCCTAACTTCCATCAGGGCTCTGGGAATATAGACCACCTCAAACTGCCTCCTCCCATTCGTCTGCCAAAACAGCATCTTATGATTTCAGGACACAAAATCAAAGATTCACCAGGTTAAAGGCCTCCACTCCTATATGAAGCAGTTTGGATGGCCCACTTTCTACACAGCCAAAAATCAGGTGGAGTAAATATATATGCCCAGGCCTCACCCACTCCTCACCCACTCCAGAGTCACAAACCAGGTGAAAGTCTCCTCCTACATCTGTCAGAAGTGTCCCCAAGGGGGGAACAGGGATTGAAATCAAATTCCTTGTAGTATAAAATTTTGTCAAAATGAACCCGAATGCTAGTGCCCCAGAAAGCCCCAGCTAAATTCCACACATATGCAGTGACAAATGGTCTTGTTTCCTCCGGTCATTAATCCCTCACCTCCTTGAGTCGAGCAATAGCATCTCCTGTCTCTGGGTGCCCCATCTCATCTTCAGTCAGCACCTTGACTATCTGGGAGAAGTGCTGGATGAAATCCTGCTTTTCCTGAGCATAACCATCTGATTTCTGGTCTCCGTTCATTCTGAGAGAGGAGCAAAGTGCTCTGAGAAGAGGAAGGACAAATGAAGAACCTGATCAGGTGCTCCCCTCCCCAAGGCCCTTCACCCCAACCACACTCACCGAGGCTCCTCTGTCCACACTTGGCACCAGCAGCGGGCACTGTGCCAGGCCCCCAGGACTGGGCACCCATGTACCAGGGAGGGCCGCCGTAGGTAACCCAGCCACCTCTCCCTGGGCGCCCAGCAGGGGGCTGGCAGCAGGAAGACCCCCACAGATCTCAGCGAGCGGGACAGGGGCATGGTGGAGGTGGCATAGGGAGGGGTACTGTGCACTCCCTGCAGGGGCAAGTACCGAAGGCAGATGCATGGTGGCCGCTCCCTCTATCATCCCCAAATCAACTTTTTAGCTACTGGCCCAGAATGCCCGGTCCTCTTGTGGACTAAACTTGGGGGCAATTATACAAAGAAGGATATGAAAAAAAGAAAGAAAAAGTATGTTTGGGTGACTGAGCCCCAGCAGATCGTTACTTAAAATTAAGACGGCTAAAACTGAGTGTCTTCAAGGCTATAAGGACAAGACCGGAGGAGGAGGCGGTACAGAACACAGCACCCCAGGACTAGGGGCTAGGAGGACCCTTAAACCACCCTATAATTCTAGAAGCCAAATTGAGGGTCTAGGAGGTAGGGAAAATAGCTCAGCAGAAGCGCAGCCAAGGTCTCCCTTTGCCGGCAGTGGCAGGGCCCGACTTTGAACTTAAACTCCAAGGAAGGGAGAACTGGGGCTGGAACCATGGATGCTGCGGACGTGTGGTCTGGAGCACGGAAACTGGAAGTTCCGAGTCTCGCAGAAGCGCTGAGACTGCGCAGAGCGCCTGGGAGCAACCCTGGCCAGGCGGGCAGGACTCCCAGCAGAAACTAACCCGGACCCCGGCATACTGGGTGCTTCCGGCAAAAGTTTGGAAGTTTCCGCAAGCACAGAAGGCCAGCCAGTCGGGCCCACCGACCCCCAAAACGTCAAGCTCTGACACGACAGGCTGGGCTTGCAGTGACCCACAGCATCGCTAGAGGTAAGGCTGGTAGCGGACCTCCACTTCCAGCACCTCCAGCACGTCCACGCGACCTCGCTCACCTGCTCCGGGAAGCTGGGTCTTGTTCGATCTGGATTGTTGGCGGGGTATCCCTAAAAGCCGGCCGCGCTCGGCGCTAGGCTCTCTGGGTCAAGTAGTTCGTGGTGTCCCGTCACTGTGGGCAGAAACCCAATATGGACTACAACTCCCGGCGTGCCGCGGAAGGCACGAAGACACGCCATCTAGCGCGGCGGGCTGGGCGGGGACGAGGCGCGCTGATTGGCTGCTGGCCCTCGTATGAGCATGGGGCCCTGTGACGGTCGGCCAATGAGAGGGCTGCGAACGGGGCAGTCACGCGACCGGGGCAGTCACGCGACCGGGGCGTGGGTGGAGCGGGCTGGTGGCCTGTGTGCAGGGAGAGAAGTAGGTTGGGAGGTCCCGCTGCTCTAACTGCTGGATGTCGCCCCGATTTTTTTTTAAGTTTTCACTGTTTTCCGATATGTCTAAGTGGCCTGTTGGCAAAACCCCAGGAGGACCAGCTTTGACATTCGTTGGTTCTAACGTGGACGAATCGTTTTAACGTCTGATCGACTTGACTTCCTTGAATGATGATGATACCAGGAGATAAAAGTATTTTAAGGGCTCAAGAAGGATGGGACTCAGCACGGAGACTAGGACCGTCTTTCCTACACGCACAGCTTACCAGCCCACCAGAGGTTGACACCACGGACTCCTTCTCCATAGCCCCAGTAACTTAGAACATCTAGAATAGTCCCTGAAATTCCAAGCCAGTTAGGACATAAACGAACTTTGTCGTTATGACGCAAAAATCATGTAGGAGGATATTTGCTACCACCGCTGTTATTCAACATGGAACATGCGAAAGCAGTTCTACAAAATGAAAGAAAGAAAAACGGAAGAATATAAAAGTTAGAAGTTGGGGAGAGGGGCGGGGGTTCCCAAGGGGCAAACCGGTAGCCTGTGGAATCAGCAACTTAGGAGGCTGAGGCAGGAGGATCCAAACTCCCAGGCCAACCTCAGCAATTTAGGAAGAGCCTGTTTCCAAAAGTAAATTATTAATTAAAAAGGACTGGGGATATAGCTCAGTGATAAAGTGCCCCTCAGACGTGAGAGGGGAGAGTACAAAGTTAAGGGAACAATTGTATAAAATGGGCCCACTGTGCCCGCCACCACATGCTTTCTTTTCCAAGAAGTCCTCCCTGGTCAGGCTGTGTCACATTCCTCAGAAAACTCCTGTTATCTGTAGGAGAAATGCAGGCCCAAAATAATGTCAAGAGGAACCCAAGTTACCCTGAGGGGAGACTTTTGTGACCCTTTTCACAGACCACATCCCAAAACTGAGGGAGATACGGCTAAATCTTCATAACCATAAAATCTGTAGGAGCCAGGACCCTGGCACATGCCAATAATCCAAGTGCCTGGGGAGGCTGAGGCAGGAGGATGGTGAGTTCAAAACCAACCTCAGCAAAGGTGTTGTGTCCATCTACAACTAAAATAGTATTTTTTTTTAATGGACCATACAGACCAATGGAACAGAACTGAAAGTCAAAATAAGCCCATATGTCAAGTGTGTGTGTGTGTGTGTGTGTGTGTGTGTGTGTGTGTATGGTGTGGGGATTGAACCTGGGGCAGTCTACCACTGAATGGCATCCCCAACACTTTTTACTTTTTATTTTTAAACAGGAGCTCACTAAATTGCTAAGGCTGGCTTGCAGCTTTCGATCCTCCTGCCTCAGCCTCCCCAGTCCTTGTGATTATGAGTAGCACCACAACCCCAATTGATTATTTTTTTCTTCCTTTTTTTTTAAATTTTTTTTTTTTAGTTGTAGATGGACACAACACCTTTATTTTATTTATTTATTTTTATGTGGTGCTGAGGATCCAAGCTTCATACATGCGAGGCAAGCACTCTACCACTGAGCCCCAACCCCAAGCCCCCCAGTTGATTCTTGATAAGGGTACCTGTCCACTCAAGGGGAAAAGAAAGTGTCTTCAACAAATATTACTGTGATATCTGGATTTCCAAATGCAAAAGAATGAAGTTAAATTACCATCTCACACCACATAAAAATTTCACTCAAAATTAATTAGAACCTAAAATTTCTAATTTTTTGTTTTCTGGATTAAAACTAAAAATATATAAAACTCTTAGAAGAAAACAGGAATAAATCTCCATTACTTTAAATTTCACAATGGATTCTTAGATGTGACACCAAAAACATACACAACAAAAGAAAAACGTTGTTCAATTGTATACTACATCAAAATATAAAACTTTTGTCAGGCATGTACCTATAATGCCAGGTACTCAGGAGACTGGAGGATCATAAGTTCAAGACCATGCTGGACTACTTAGTGAGACCTTGTCTCAAAATAAATGAATAAAATAAAATAAAAATAAAAAATAAAATCTTTGGTAGTACGGACATTTTGACAATGTTGATAATTACTATCCATAAATCTGGGCCACATAGTGAGACCTTGTCTCAAAATAACTGAATAAAATAAAATAAATAAAAAATAAAAAGGGTTGGGAATGTAGCTCAATGGAAGAGGGACCCTGGGTTCAATCCTCAGTACCAAAATAAATAAATAAATAAATATTAAAATCCTTTGTGCATCAAAGAACACTATCAAGAGAGTGAAAAGCAGGGCTTGGGTTATACCTCAGAGTACAGCCCTTGCCTAACGGGGTCAGTTCCTGGGTTTGATCCTCCGTACAGGAAAAAGAAAACACACACACACACACACACACACACAATAGGATAAAACTTATTCTTAGCAAAATGGCTATATTAAAATAAAAACAAGCCAAGCACAGTAGCCCATGCCTATAATTCCAGTGGCTCCAGAGGATGAGGAAGGAGGATCACAAGTTCAAAGGCAGCCTCAGCAATTTACTGAGGCCCTGAGCAACTTAGGAGATCCTGTCTCAAAAAATAGAAACAGGCTAGGGATGTGGCTTAGTGTTTAAGCACTTCTGGGTTCAATCCCTGGAATCAATCAGTCAATTAACACACTGAACATACTAAGAAAAAAAAAAAAAAAAGCATACTGTTGGTGATAATATGGAGAAACTGGAACTCTTACATACTGGTGGGAAAGTAAAATGGTGAAGCCACTATGGAAAACAACTGGGCAATTCCTCAAAATGTTAAACACATAGGGGAAAACTGAAAGCATTTCCTCTTAAATCAGGAATAAGACAAAGATGTCCATTCTCACCACTCTTACTCCATATAGTACTTTAAATTTTAGCCAGAAAAATTAGTCAATGAAAAATAAATAAAAGGGATATAACTAGGAAAGAAAGAAGTCAAATTATCCCTATTTGCAGATAATATGTTCCTATATTTAGAACATCCTAAAATTTCTACCAGAAGACTTCTAAGATCTGACAAACAAATTCAGGAATCAAAATCAACATACAAAAATCAATAGATAGATTTTCTCCACCCAAACAATGAACCCATTGAGAACAAATCTGGAAAACAAGTCTATTTACAGTAGCTTAAAAAAAAAAAAAGTAAGTACCTAGGAATAAATCTAACCAAAGATGTGAAAGACCTCTACAAGGAAAATTATGGAACACTGAAAAAAACAGAAGATACTAGAATATGGAAAGCCCTCCCATGTTTACGGATAGGCAAGTCAACGTTGTTAAAATGGCCATGCTACCAAAAGCATTCTACAGATTCAATACAATCCCCACCAAATACCAATAATATTCTTCACAGGACTAGGGAAAAACTGACCTAAAATTTATGTAGAACAAAAGACCCAAAATAGTCAAAGCAATTCTGAGCAAAAAAAAAAAGCAATGCTGGAGGAATCACAATACCCAATTTCAAATTATACTACAGAGCTATACTAACTAAAACAGCATGATTTATTTCAAGAAAGAAAAGAGGGAGCACTTCCAAACTCATTCTACGAGGCCAATATCACCCTGATTCCAAAACCAGGCAAAGATACATTAAAAAAAAAAAAAAAACTTCAGACCAGTATGTCTAATGAACATAGATGTAAAAATTTTCAATAAAATTCTGGCAAATAGAATACAAAAACATATCACAAAGATCATGCACCACAATCAAGAGGGATTCATCGCAGGCATGCAAGGTTGGTTCAACATATGGAAATCAATAAATGTAATTTATCACATCAATAGAAAAAAAGAGACAGCTAAACTGGGTTGGGGATATAGTTCAGTTGGTAGAGTACTTGCCTCCATGCCTCAAGGTCCTCGGTTCAATCCCCAGCACCACCAAAAAAAAAGAGAGAGAGAGAGAGAGAAACAGGTAAACCAATGAAATAGAATAGGAAACACATAGACAAGCCCAATCAGATACAGTCATCTAATCTTGGACAATGGTGCCAAAAACACAAAGTAGAGAAAAGACAGATCTTTTTTTTTTTGGGGGGGGGGCACCAGAGATTGAACCCAAGGTGTTTAACCACTGAGCTACATCCTCAGCCCTTTTAATTTTTATTTTGAGTGAGGGTCTCACTAAGTCACCAAAGCTGGCCTTGAACTTGTTTTCTTCTTATCTCAGTACAGGGGATTGACCCAGGGGCACTTAACCACTGAGCACACCCCCAGCCCATTTTCTATTTTGACACAGGGTCTCCCTAAGTTTCTTAGGGCCTTGCTAGGTTGTTGAGGCTGGCTTTGAACTTGTGATCCTCCTGCCTCAGGCTCTTGAGCTGCTGGGATTATAGGTAAGCATCACCATGCCTGGCATTAAAGGACTTTTTAATAAATGGTGCTGAGAAAACTGGATATCCTTATGGATCCCTATCTCTCACCCTGGACAAAGGACAACTGCACATTAATAAAACTCTTAGGATCTAGGATAAGAAACTTTGCAACTGATACAAGAAAACATAGGGGAGACATTCCGACATAGAGTGGTAGGCAAGGACTTTTCTCAATAGAACTCCTATAGCTCAGAACACATTATCAATAAAGGGGGAGAAAGA